TGACACTCATTAAGATCACTAACTTATTGATTAAATTATGCATGGAATGAAAATTTTTCAAATTTCAGTTAAATCCAGATGTGAGCGCATTCCAGCGTAAATTCGTTAACGAAGTTCGAAGATGCGATGAAATGGAAAGAAAATTAAGTGAGTTCGTAACATTCAGTCAACTTTGGTCATATTTTTAAGGATTTCAGTTCTGAACATTTCAGTTGTTGAATAATTCATCATTCAATATCGTTCGTTCATCATCATTATTATTATTCGTAATGTTGAGGTTAATGATAGCGTTAATTGTGATGCTGCGAAAATGTCGTAACGTACTTTCAAGAGATGCTTTTTTAAAGGATTTTTGGAACGAGAAATTAAGAAAGATGCGATTCCAATGCTGGATACTGGCGAGAATCCGGATGCACCTCAACCACGAGAAATGATCGACTTAGAGGTTCGTTCAATCCCTCTCACTGCTATGACGCTCTCTTGCGTCAGTGTCACTATTGTTTTGATACCAAACAATTTCAGGCGACATTCGAAAAATTAGAAAATGAATTGCGTGAGGTGAATCAAAACGAGGAAATGCTCAAGAAGAACTTCTCCGAGCTAACCGAACTGAAACACATTCTGCGTAAAACACAACAATTCTTCGACGAGGTATCATCATTTCGTTTGTTTACATCGATTTATTCACATCAATCACACTTTTCGAAAATAGCCAAAAGTTGAACATTTCTTTCACGTTTTTCTCTCATTTGCATAGTATTCCACCCAAATAAAAAATTTTTTATTCGATAAAGTACGAAACTGGTTGGTTTCATTTATCAACTTACTTATAGCTGACTTCACGTAGAAATTATATATAACATAAAATGAATTGAATAGTAGTCCTAGGCATCGTTGAAGAAGTTTAATGGGGATATTAGNTATAGAACGTCAAGATCAAAAAGTGAGTTAGTTGAGTAATGAAAAAACCTAGATGCATGAAAAATTTAGTTATTGAACAATTTGTTTTCTTGAGTTCCCACCAAAAATCGCACATTTATAAGAATATGTTTGATTGTGAACCTATCGTTTTTACCAAGCGCTTCATGCTAAATCCCTCTCTAAAACACTAACTATCGTCAAGCGTTAGCTTATGTACAGTTTTGCACTCGATGTTGAATTGATTTGTGTGTGTGTGATGTGGTTGTCGATCTAATCACTTTTAATCGTTTGAACAAACTCATTTGACGAAATTGATTCTAACAGCAACAACATTAACGATTGTTTTGCTTCATCTTCGTTTTTAATGTTGCTTTCTTTTCGATTATTTATTCATTCGTGGTGTTTTTGTACAAAATCATTACCTCAAAAAATAAGCCCATTAATATTATCCCCGGTAGATTTTTGATGAAGTTTGCCATGGAAGGTAACGTTGACGGTGCTTGAAACATACATTTCGCAAAAAAGAAACCATCTTTTGAGTCTTCATAAAGCAGTGATATAAGTCCAGCCTTATTTCGTTTTAGTTGGTCTTCAGGAGAAAATTAATGTTCAAATACCATTAATATCATCGTGTATTGTGACTGCATGAGTCTTGAACACTTAAACAAACATTCAGTTGCGTATTCGTTATTGCTCGCTGCCAGATTACTGAATGTGAAGTGGTCATATTCCGTTGAGAATGAGTTTGATATTTAGCCTGCTTCATTTTTATGTACACTTATTCATAAATATTTATTTTTAAGTTGCTTCTAACGTTATCCTGCATGCATGCACACATTCTATTTCACAAAATCAATGTTCTAATACCGTTAATGTCAACACAGAAAATGAAAACTAATCAATTCATGCGATTAAGAATTGTTGTTTGAAATTAATCTCTTCCTCAAAATTTTTCTCCGGTTCTCATCCACTGTTTGTTTGTTTTCTTTGAGCAATGTTTAGAAATTTTCTTTATTCGATCTGAAATTAACATTGATTGCATGTTTTGAGGTTTGCTTA